ATTACCACTGTCCGTGGCTTGTGCCATTGCTGTTCAGATTCCGTGCAGCTATGCACAGGGGGGACAACCGGCACTCTGAGTTGTGAGTAGTGTGCTGTTTGGAAGAGCAATGCCACTGTGTGATTGCACATAACAGCGCCTGCCACACAGGAGCACTGGCTATCGGATGAATCCAAAAGCTTAATCTAAGAAGAAAGAACGAAAATTAAAAATGTAACACCATCTTCATGGAAGAGCTGAACAGGAACATAGTTCAGTTTTATGGTTACATACCCTCCTGAATGCTTAGTGTTTCCTTCTCTCCCTATTAAAACAACTTAACCATCCTTGATAACTGTAATAACTTTGTTTATTGTGATTGTGTATATTTGCAGTATTAACTTGTTGTCAAATGTTTCTGATCACCCACACACGTTGGATTAAACTATCTGACTAGTCAAATTCGGAGTGATAAAGCAGGGAGACAAGGAAAACATTCAAGTTGATGGGCCTTTAGGAATGAACTTAACTAATGCTTAAATGAACTGAACCCCACTGAACGGGGATTAACAACTTTACACAGGTTCCTGCCTACACTTAGTCTGTGTGGTGCCTCACTCTTCCTCATTGACCTGTAGCACAGGGCTCTCACACCGACCTCCCCAGACAACCTGTCTTTATTGGACACTGAATAAAGGTACAAGTACCATTAGCATTATTTCTGTATTACTCATGTCAGCACGTCTTAAACATATATACTTTACACTTAGCAAGAGCAGCATTAGGTAGTTAACTACCTCCTTAGTTAGCCAACTACCTAACGCTATTATAACAGTGTCTAACAACAAAAGTGACATTAGTTAAGAAAACCTCAACTATAGTTTCGGACAACATAAAACACCGTTTAAGAAAACATGTAATGTAGAGGACATAGCGGAGTAACGCAGGGTTTGCATTTGACGTTAGCTAGCGTTTCTTTGTCGGTTAATTTACATTTTCTTACCTTCGTATTTGTGTATATATGATGCAGCATATAACTTAAAGCACTGGGGCAGGACTACATAGAACGCAGAAGTGATTGTGCAAGTAGTCCATTGGAGACTCGGCTTTGCACCCTTCATTCACCCGTAGCTAGCCAGGCCCCTGTAGCTGGTGCAGCCGAAGATAGCGTAGGCCCCGCTAGCTGTTCCCCGGCAGACCCCAAGCAGCTGGGGAAAGAGGGTGGCTGGGTGACGGTGAAGAGGAAGCATAGTCTTAAACAGTAGTGATGGGATTTCCGGCTCTTTTTAGAGAACCGTCTCTTTCGGCTCGGCTCACTAAAATAGACGACTCTTTCGGCTCCCAACTGGCTCTTCGGGTTGTTTTGTTGCTTGAATTAATTTAAACAATATAATACTATAAAATTATGCACAAAAGGAATTGCTAATGTAAAAAAGTGGTTTTATTTATATATGTTTATATATATAAATATATGCGGTGGCCCCTAGAGACAAAGCACATACAAATTCCAAAACACGTACAAACTCCAAAACA